TTTCATAATTTACTGGAACTAGAAAAAAGTACTCTATAACAAAATGTATACAATTTAGGAATTGTACAAAACATTAATTTAGCAAGATGGTATTGGTTAAAGTCACCAAAATGAACAATTAACTTACTTTTCACTGCCACTTCCATGAAAGCTCAGATAAAAATTCACTGGCTAAAAAGTCACAGCAGAAGCAATTTAAACTTTATGTACAACAGAAAAGGTAAATCTTCCAAAGTAATACTGCAGACAATCACTAAGAGGCTCTCCATGCTGCCACGGCATTACTGGAATGGTTTTCAGAGTCCATCTTCTACGTGGGACGTCAGCTTTTCAAGACCAACACGTGAAGCATTAGATGTAATACAAAATAAGGAGTTCTTTATTATTTATACAAAACTTGTACATTAAAAAAAATTAAGATTCAACAACTCTGCTGACAACCTGAGGAAGCTAAGAGCTTTTATGGGTCCATCCAAGAGCCCTGTGTGAATGTTTCGGTCACCCACCTCCTGGCCACAGGAACAAGGCACACAGCTCCAGGGCCATTCACATGGCTCCTTTCATTGGTTCTGTAAGCTGACTTTCCCTTCCACTAGGCTGGGCAAGTAAGCCAGGAAACTATCTTCTCTGGCCCAAGCTAGAGTGTTTTATCAGTATACAAGTTGATTTTTCTTTATTTCATGAACACAAACTCCTAGCATAAGAAACTTTATTACAACATATACAGATTTGATACGTTGTTTACAAAAAATCTAGATTTTTTTCAGCTAAATAAATTAAAAGGTCTTTTGAGAAAGTTGGCTTAGAGAAACGGTATTTTTCTTTCACAACTGTGTTTTCACACTGAGTTCTAAGAGAGGTCACAGACATGCTTGTACTTGACAAAGTCACCCTCGTCTAAACAACAGTAAGAGCTCTGATATCTTTAGTGGAGCACAAAACTCTGTTTCCTAAAGCCTAATGCTGAAAGACATGTTATATGCAATCTAGACAAAATTTCTATTTATATAAGAGGACTCTCTGAATAAATCACAGAAATAAATGCAGTGATTTGTTTTCTTGATAGAGAACTATTTAGCATTGCTTAGCATATTATTTTGTAGTTTGGGAACAGGAATAATAATTCTTTTCTTGAAGATAGCCAGGTCCCTCCCCTTCTGAAGAATAATGTTGGTTACCCCCCCAAAAAAAAATCAAAATAGGCCAGCACCAAATGAAATATTAGTTTACAAAAAATAAACTTAGCTCTTATTTCTTAAAGATCTACAACCCAGACTTAATAAATTAACTATAAAATCAGAAGCTTTGTCAACCACAGTATAATTTAAAAATCCATTTTCAACCTGTGGGGGTGGGAAGGAGGGTAATCTCACACTGATCATCATGAACTTCATGAATTTCATCAAAAGAAAACACTTTTTTTCCAGCTTGTATTCGCCTTCAGAGGTGAGCTGTAGATTTCCTTCTGTGATGCTTTAAAGCAGAATACCAATGTTGAGATCTTTCCAATGAGCACAGCATGTAAAGCACTAAACTGTTTTCAGATCTGAAGAGACCGCACAGAAAGAACTCAGACCTCTCTGAAAGAGCCAAAAACCAAGCAGTTGTCTCACTGATCATGTCTACTCATCCTTAACAGGACATTACATTGAGCTTTTTAATTCACAGATTTTATGTTAGTCCTTTAGAACCCAATGCCCATGTTTCAGTTCAGAGCGTCAGGTTATTCAATCTGCCTTCTTGGTGCAAGTTCCTTGGAGGTCTTGTAAATTTATCTTTGACCTGTGGCAGAAAAAGACAAAGTAGCAACACACAAAATAACAGGAACCCAGAATTTTAATTTGGGACTATTGTATCTGAGTAGTGAGTTTTTACACAGCATATTTTTTTTTTTTTAAGAATAGGGAAAACACATTGAATGTATCTTTAAATCTCACCTGTTGTGAATCATGTGACTTCTGACAAGATGTCCTGCTGCCAATGCTGCCATCAGTGACAATTCCCCAGCCATTACTGTACCACACACAATTCGGGCAAGCTGCCGGGCATTTTCCCCAGGATTGTCTTTGCATGCTCCTTGAACACCTAGCATCTGTAGTCACAGGGAGACACAGCAAGATTCACCTTTCAAGTCATGAGCAACAATGTGTTACTAATACTAAATCAACTAAAATAAGGGCAACGACAATGGCATCAGAATAGAACTAGACTCCACTGGAAGTCTTCAATTTCCAAGATTTGACAGCAAGGACTGAAAATGCATATATCACAGCTAACATAACATCCACAGCCTGACTGTCAGTGCCCTTACTCAGGGCAGACAAACATTCATTTGCTCTCTTAATCTATGTTGTCAACTTATTAAGCATATGCCTGAACATGCTTATTTGGACATACTGGATTAGGCTGGTGAGACACAAGAGAGCAAAAAGATCAGATAAAATACAGAGATGAGGGCCAGCCCGGTGGTGCACTGGAGAGTGCGCCGCTTGGGAGCGCGGCGGCACTCCCGCTGAGGGTTCAGATCCCATGTGGAGACCGGGTTCCTGCTCACTGGCTGAGCGCGGTGCGGGCGCGACACCGAGGGTTGCGATTCCGTTGCCGGTCCCCGGTACGGGCGCGACACCAAGGGTTGCGATCCCATTACCGGTCAGTAAAAAAGACAAAAAGGAAAAAAAAAAATACAGAGGTGAATGATACATAGTGTCAAATAGATAACAGAGAGAATACCAGGAGTGAGAACCAGGCCTGAGGTCAGTGGACCCTGTGCCTGATGCGTCATACCTGCAAACAGGCTTGCTGAGGTAGTAGGTTGGTCCCACCACCCACAGTTCCTATTTCTATAGATGGCATGGTACAACTGATATACAAATCTTCATTTGTGGGACCACTTGCTTCCATTAAAGTAATACAGTTTGAACTACCAACATTCTGTGCCGCATCCTGAAAAAAAGAAAAAAATATACAATATACTTCCTTCACTTAGAACAACATAGCAGAAGAGAAGTGGAGGCTGGAGTGCTCACCTGCCCACAGGCAATGTAGATAGCTGTGACAATGTTTGCTGCATGGGCATTGTAGCCACCTATGCTCCCGGCCATGGCAGAGCCCACCAGATTCTTGCTAATGTTTACATCGATCATAGCTTCTGTAGTAGTTTTTAAGACCTAGAAAACAGAGTTGTGTACATTTTACATCTTTGCCCAGAAGATTCAGGGGAGTGCTACCCAGATCTATCTTTCTATACCTCCAGAGAAAAAGGGAGTTTAGATGTGGCCCCATTTAAGCCCTGTCCTCGATAAAAAGATTATCAGTAAGTTTGTTCCTGTGAATGCCACACATAGAAAACATAACCCTATATATTTAAGTTTATTTACAACATTAATACTCCTTTCCCCAATTTTTAATCCAATTAAAGATTACAAAATAAAAAAAATAACAAAACAAAAATTCATCTGATCACTTACTTCTCTGACCACCTTGGCTGGAATGACAGCTTCACAAACAACAGACTTTCCTCTTCCCTCTATCCAGTTTATAGCAGCAGGTTTCTTGTCAGTACAATAGTTACCACTAACTGCTAGAATCTGCATTTCAGGGAAATACTCATGAAGTTTTGAAAGTGCTTTCTCTGTACCCTATTAATAATAACAACAACAAATCACATTAAAATGCATAAAGTATTCATCTTTACAGATCAGAAGGGTTTATTTCTGCCTATGAAGTATTTCTAAATACAACAGATGTACTTCAAAGAAACTGAGCACAAAACTAACAGTTTTTTTTAACCATCACAGTGACAAATTTCTCGGTCAGGTATAGATTCATAATGTGTTTCCTTCTAGGTATGAAAACCAAGTTCTTTGTAGTTATTGATGAACAGAATATAGACAAAACTACCAGAAAGAGAATGTTAAAAATACTCAATGAGAATATAAGAAACATTAATTCATGTGTCACTGGGGATTGAGTAACTCAACCCATAATCCACATGTAATAAATTCCCTCTTCTAGTTATTAAACTGTTACCTTAAAAAAAAAGCCCAAGTTACCAAGTCTGTAAAGAGAAGTGGATCATTAAAGTCAATCTTGTTAGTAGAAAGTTGCTGGGATTTATATTACATAAAACATAAATAAGCCTTCCGACAACTTCCAGTTGAATAAAATTAATTCAATTACCAACTCATACCCCAATAACCCAATACATATTTACTGGCAATTAAAAAGTTTTTTGTGGTAAAATACACATAACATAAAATTTACCATCTTAACCATTTCTAAGTATACAATGGTAAGTACATTCACATTAATGTGCAACTAATCTCCAGATCTCTTTTCATCTTACAAAACTAAAACTCTATATCCATTAAACAACAATTCCCCAATCCCCTTCCCCTGACGCCTGTTAACCACCATTCTTTTTGTCTCTATGAATCTGACTACTCTAGGTACTTCATTAAGTAGATTCATATAGTATTTGTCTTTTTGTGACTTATTTCACTTAGGAGAATGTCCTTAAGGTTCATCTATGTTGTACCATGTGTCAGAATTTCCTTCCCTTTTAAGATTGAAAAATATTCCATTATACTCATAGGTGCACTCATTTTATTTGTCCATTCATCCGCCAGTGGACACCCAGGTTGCTTCCACCTTTCATGAACAGTGCTGCTATGAACATAGATGTACAACTATCTCTTTGAGACTCTGCTGCTTTCAATTCTTTTGGGTAAATACCCAGAAGTGGAATTTCTGGATCTATTTTTACCCTATTTTTTAAGTTGTTGAGAAACTATCATATTGTTTATTGGCAGTTTAAAGCTTAATACATTTAGTCACCATCCTCTCTCTTTTGGAATAGTCCTTCTAAACACACACAGTAAACTGTGCAGCCTGACTAACTGACTTTCATATTTCACATTTGTTTCTGATAAATAACAAATATCAGTGGGATAAAATGTAAGCCATACACCAACTTCTTATGAAATCATTAAAATAAGTGAACTATAGGGGCCGGCCCGTGGCTCACTCGGGAGAGTATGGTACTGATAACACCAAGGCCACGGGTTCGGATCCCTATATAGGGATGGCCGGTTAGCTCAGGATCCCATATAGGGATGGCCGGTTAGCTCACTGGGTGAGCGTGGTGCTGACAACACCAAGTCAAGGTTTAAGATCCCCTTACCGGTCATCTTTTAAAAAAAAAAAAAGTGAACTATACACATAAACTATATTTGGCTTCTTAAAGACAAGTCTCTGGAAAAGATCAGCTTCAAAGTTTACTGAACAAAGTTTTGAAGTGTTAACCCCAAGATTCTTCCCAGCCCTTCTGAGTAGACCCAGAATATGTATAATGCCAAATCTAAATTAAATATATCAAATATAATTAACAGCAATCAAGAAATGCCTGATTCCCTGTACCAGCCAGCAGCCATAAAACAAAAACAGAAATGTCTGATTTATATAACAAGAGTTACCTCAATTAGTATTTACCTTTCAATAAAAGTATTTTTTAATCAGTAACTCTTTGAGTATGTAACATATGTACATGGTACATAAATAAAAATACAGACGGACATAAACAGCAAGTCCTGTCTCCTCACCACCCAGTTCCTCTCTCCTGGCATAATCATTCTTACAAGTTCCATGTCTACCCTTTCGGATACAGTCTGTCTATACTCACCTTCGAGATCATGTTCATCCCCATGGCATCTCCTGACTTGGACTGGAAACGGATATAAAGATTGCGACCAGCCATACTCATATGAAGTTTCTGTAGACGTGCAAATCTATAAACAAAAGCAGCAAAGATTGTATTCCTTTAAGAAGACGGAAATTATCTTAAAATCTAGTTTAGTCACATCATTTCGTGCATAAGAGAAACCTCATGGAAATTATTTATTTTCTTCCTTAAATAAACAACACATGAAGGATACTATTTCAACTCCGTCTCATTCTTAGATGCTATGAGAAAAGAGGGCTGTAGGGCAGTCATTTCTTAACAGACAAACTTAAAAATTCCAAATAAAAACTAAACATATTAGCTCAAACTATACTGGGGTTATTATTTGTATTGATTATGCTTCTTTGTAAATTCAGCTTTCTGTATTCTAAGTAAATCTACTGTACTAATACTTCTATCCTGCTTGGAAAATCTTTTTTCTAAGATAATTTTCCCCTAGGGCAAAGTAACAGTCTAATTAAATTTACTAGCTCTTTACTTTTTTTTTAACTCATTTTCATCTATGGAGGTATTCATTTGAATCAACAATGTCCCCCCCACCCTTCCTATAGAGCATAAATGTCACTCATTTTGAATGAATGAATTTAAAGTTAGTATGTTATGTTATCTTAAGCAGGCAACATGTTAAAAATTCTGGTTAGCAATTACAGAAAATGGCACTGATTCTGAAATCAGCATAAACATACATATAAATCCACTCACACACCTGCTGGTGCTGTCAAATGCCTCCTTTATCACTGTGAACCCTTCAGGTGTTTCAAGCCAGGCCTTCACTTCTGCTGAGTCACAAGCACTGGGAAGACGCACCACTGGGCCACGAGTCATCCCATCTGCAAGGACTCGGCTGCTGGCACCTCCACCTAGCTACACAGGGTATATTACAGAAGCACATATTAATCCTGAAAACACTTCTGCTTGTCCCAAAAGGTGTCCTTGCTTGTCCCCAAAACTCTTCTTGTTGCCTTGCCTAGGGTGTATTTTCAAACAGCCAAATATATAAATGCCAACTTACACCTATTGCTCTGCAGCCTCTATTAGTGCTGGCCACAAGACAACCTTCTGTTGTTGCCATTGGAACCTGAAATTCTTTTCCATCCAAACACAGAGGTCCTGCCACTCCAACAGGGATGGGCATATATCCAATAACGTTCTCACAACAAGCTCCCATCACCTAAAAGGTAAAGTCAGGCACCAAGTGAAAATCTATATTGTAATACACAACTCCTCTCAGCCTTTGTCATTAATAACTTTCTTCAAACTTAATTCTTTAGTATATTTTTCAACAGAATTTTTTATTTATTCTTTAAAGGTGTTTAAAATACTAAAGTCTTTAAGTAAGGACAATAAAAACAGGAAAGATTTTGAATTTATCTGATCTACATCATAAGCAGAATATAAAATTACAGTAAAATGATTTAAAAAGGAAAATGTTTTATAAAACTACGTATAAAAAAACTAGTCAGGAAAAAAAGACTAAAAAGCAAAGACTACAAAGCAAACCTTCTCTAATCAAGAGAATAACATACCAAGGAGTAATTATAGTCCCTATAAGGTAGGTACTGGAGAGAAGAAGGCTCTGGAAGCTTTTCGGAAAGTAACTGTCGGCGAATAGATACACCTCGTTCATGGGTTTCCATCAGAGTTTCCAATTTGTAAGCTGGAATATGCTTAGCCTTGACTAACTGGATGATCTCTGCATCACTAAGGAATTTTGCACCTTTCTAAAGAAATGGAAAAAAAATGGGAGGGGGGTGAGAGAGGGAGACGACAGAAGGACTGTACTTCATATCATTCACAATAAATAAACCATTTAATACAAATGATGATAAAATATATAAATCTTTTCTATTATGTCACTGTTGTTTTTTCATACAAATATACCCCTGCAAAATAGTTTATTCAATATAAGCAATGCCAAATGAAAATAATATACATACCATGTCAAAGTTTTTACTATACAAAGATAGACTTGCATTAATACACAGTAAAAAGAAAAATAAATGTGACTTAGCAAGTACGTGTTAGATGTAACAGCTATTGTTCACACTCCAGTAAATTATTATATATATTTTATTAATTTTTTGAACAGGCAGTATACTCACACAGTTAAAAAAACTAAAGAATACAAAAAGATATATAACAAAGTCTCCCTCCCAACCCTATCTACCATCTTCCCAATTCTTTGCTACCTGTACTCAATAGGTAAACAGGTAGCCATTGTTTTACTTTATTTATTCATTTTTTTTTTTTTTGTGGCTGGCCAGTACGGGGATCCAAACCCATGATCCTGATACGTCAAAGGGTATGCATACTTATAATTTATAAATTTATATCTTTATAAATTTATTTTTAATAAATACTGCTGAATTGCCTTCTCACCAGCAAAGTACGAAAATGCCCTTCCCCACAACCTCAACAGAGTATATTATTAAACTTTTGGATTATTGCCAATCTGATGAATAAAAACACTTCAAGTATAGTTTTAATTTGCATTCCTTTTAGAATGAGGTTGATTTTACTTTCACATTTTTAAGAACCACTTGTACTTCTTTTTCTACAAATAGACTGATTATATTATTTGCTCTTTTAAAAATTTAGATTGCTAGTCTCATCAATTTGTAAGAGCTCTTTATATATTACGTTGGGGAGATTAGCTGTTTAGTCTTAGATATAAATTGCTAATATTTCCCCTGGTTTATTAGTTGTCTCTTGACTCTGCTTGTGGTGGTGATATACATACATATACATACACCCATACCCACACCCCAAATCACTCCTCTCCACAAAACTGGCCCCTCAGGTCAATAATATCAAGTAATTCAATTCTGTGAATACTACCTGTGGGTTTATTCAAGGATTTTTGCAAACATTAGTATCAGTTTAATTTTTCCAAAGAATAAGATAAACATTACCTGGCATGTGTACTACCAATGCAAATTTACTCATTCTTTTAAAGTTTACTGAGCACTTACTAAATCCCAAGCCCTCTCAAGACATGGATTCAACCTTCTAAGAGTTTTATGTCTAATAATGGACATAATCATGTGAAGATGTGATATAAGCAGCAAGGTTTAAGTGCCATTAAAAATGCGGTGTAGAGGCTGGCCCGTGGCTCACTTGGTAGAGTGCAGTGCTGAT